GCCTCCTGCCGTCGTGTTCCCGCTACAAAGGACCGTGGCCATCCGGTCCTGAACTCCTTTCCAGGGCCTGCGGACTTTGGTTCCGGCAGGCGAGCTACAGCCGTCGGGCTCCGGGCCCGAGCTGTGCGCCCAGCTGCTTGACTAGGTCGACCCTAGTTCTCTGACGCGTCACCACCAGCCTGCGTTCTCTCGTCACAGACGGGTCCACACTCCTAAAGCCAGAGCCACCACGTTCCGGCCTGGTTTCTCGACGTGTCGTCAGCAGCCAGCGTTCCTTCATCCCCGTCCTGCCCGCGTCCTGAAGCCGGAATCACCGCGTTCCGGTTTGCTCATCGTCGGCGGAATTCAGCGTGTGGGTGAGACCGAACAGATATCTTGCGCTACTCCCATCACTCAGCCCCTTTCGAACGTTTGGTTTAGTTACTGACTTTGAACGTTTTTGTTGGGTGTTTACAGATGTGTTTCGTCATGTCCAGTCAACTGTTTATTAAGTGTTTTGTTTTGTGAGGAATCTTTGCCTTTTTTTCTTTTCAATTAAACTTTTTGTGTGTTTCTTGGAAACCGAACGGCTTTGTCCTTATTAGAAAAACTCTCTGAGGCTCAACCAGGAGAAACAAATCAGCAACAAAGAACCCGCATCACAGCGCCCCGGTTTTTGTCGCTCTTACAAATTGCCACCCACAGGGATAGCAATACTGCCACTGGTCTTGACGCTGACGAAGGCAGCACTCTGCATTTTCCAGATGAAACTGTTTGGTTCGCCGAACTTGTGGCCGGTGAACGAAGTCAGAGTACAAGAGTATACACGGCCCTTATGTCAGTGCACGGAGCGTCAGCTATTATTCAACTGATCTATTGCAAGGCGCATCGGGATTGATTAACACGGCGTCGAATATTTGAGCATTATCACTGGTGGTCGCCTTTCTTCGCGAACAAACTCAGCATTTCGCGTTTGCGTGCTCAACTTAAAAAAATAATATCGAGATCATCTAGAATGCTCACACAAATTCTGGCGAGATTAGTGCTATGCATTGCCTACATGGGCAGCAACATAAAACACAGAAAGAAAGGAGGATGTGTGGCATTGTCCACCTCTAATACTTGTGTCACACGGGCGCGCAAAAAGTCTTTTAAGTAAGCGGTCTTTTACGAAGTTGAAAAACTTTTAACAAAGAGGTGTTTGCGGCGCAGACAAACGGCAGCAACGATCTCCTTTTAATGTTTTCGTTCGAAGACAGTAGCGAAAGCGTGGCGCTAGCAGTTAAAAGTGAAGCAATGAAAATTAAACGATGTATCACGATGTACAAATTAAAGACTTGTTGCACTGCCCGTTCCTTCAAATAAATTTAAGAATAAGAGATGAAGACACACCAATGTGAAAGTTTGTTGCACAAGTTAAGGAAGCATTCCCATAACTAGCGACGTGCACAAGCCCGTCTGGCACCACTGGGATTTTATTTACCGTATTTGTTTTTTGCTGCTCTCGACAGCTCTCGACTCGTTATGGGTGACCGTACGGGAGAAAAAGCGAGGATCGCAAGCCTCACGGCCTGCCTTCTCGCTCTGGAAAGCGAGGCAGACGCTGCAAAAGCCGCCAAGGAGAGGATAACGTGTCTGCTTCCGACCATTGCAGACGCTGCCTTTTCCGTGGGGTGCCGGCTGCTTGATCTGCGTAGTTGGCCATAGACACTCGGACTCGGACCACATGAATGACGGGCAAACACACGACTGCCACGCTTTCCTCGCTTGTGCAAAATGGCGCGGCGCGAGACCGAGCGTCACCACGTGATATTGCCGACGCGTTGTAGCTGCTTACGACAGTAGAAAAGGAAATAACCATTAAAAGAGTTCATTTCACCTTCTGCAGGATATGAAATTCGTTTTTACAAAGAGTTTTGGTGACAGAAAAATAAGCATTTGCTCTTTTTTTCCCACAACTCGAAAATTGCTGGTGCCCACTGGTTTCGAGGCTACTCATTCGGAGCCGTAAAAGAGATCGACGAACTCCGCTTACGAAAAAGACCGCTTCTGAAAAGGAGTTCACTCTGTGCCGTGTGTCTGCTATCAGGAACTCCTTTTCGGAAAAAGACCGCTTACTTAAAAGACATTTAAGTGCCCGTGTGACAGGGGTATAAGAAAGCATCGTCCTGATGATCCCTCAACAGAAGTGGCAGTACAAAATGGCAAAGAAAGAAAGTAGAAGAAGCAAGCCACAAATGCAAGTAAAGAATTGCCACAATAAGCCGAAACTACACTCCTTAGGTTCGTCCGCACGCATAAAGCAGTTTGAACCGCATGACAAGAACGACTTCAGGTTTCGCACGGTGCCGTTTAGAGTTCGTATTGCTGTTGGGAGCAACCTCGAAGTAGAATGTGCCGAGACTCCGAAGCAGCCTATATGGTCCAAAATACCATCGCAGACAAATGCATATCTATTTCGTCCGCTTGAGAAGGATCATTACGTAGGACATCTGGAAACATTGTAAGGTATAAATTTAGAGTATCCTAGTAATATTCACGCCCAGCTACCAGATAGACTGAATTAGGGTTGTTAAAGGACCCCTTACATTCAGTTACCAACCAAGGCATATTCTCGAAAAAATTCGGGCAGACATACAAAAAAAATTGTAGCAGTGACTGTTACGATGTTACGTGCCAAAAACGTGGAGAACTCTTGAGCTTCTATTTAAGAGTCGAACGTGACAGCGGAAATCGGGGGAAGCTTTCACATATGGCTACAATTTGTCTAATGTCTAGCATGCTTTAAGTGACGTAGTTTGGTATTTATTTGCGTTCATTGTCATCAAACAAGTGGTACATCTTTTGAAAATATTAGCGAAATTGATCTCTAAGGTTAACTGGTCAGTAGTGTTTAGTCCAGGGAGGTACACAGCACAGTGATCTGTAAACAGTATTAATTGTTACCTAGAAAAAGAAGTCGTATATATAGTTGACAAATAGTAGCGAGCCAAAGGCGGAGCCTTTAGGCGCGCCTGCTGTTAGCGAAAGGGGAGTATAGGTGCTTATACATAATGGCGTATTGTGTTGAAGTTTCGTGGCGCAATGGCACAAAACACAAGCACATAGGGGTGAACCGGCACTTTTTTATGGCGGTGGTGGGTAAAGTTGGTTGAGAAACTTTAACAAGCAGTATTGATAAGGCACATTATCTAACGCTTGAGCGTAATCAAGAAAAGCAACGCCAGTCTGCACGTTTGCATCCAGGTTAATATAAATGTCACGTGAAAAGGCTGCTATCTGCGTTTGGCATGAAAACTCCTTGCGGAAGCGGTGCTGTGAAGGATGAAAAGTATATTGCTGTCAAAGAAATTCATTATGTCGTAGTAGGTCACATGCTTCATAATTTTGTGAGGACGCTTGTTAGGGAGATTAGGTGGTAGTTAATTGGAAAGTATCTGTCACCTTATTTGAAGAGCGGTACGACCTTCCCTATCTTCTGGTCACTTGGGATGTTTCCCATTGAAACTGTCTGTGAAATGACCACCCCAAGAAAAAGTGAAGCATTTATTTCAAGCACAGCTCATGAGGAAGCTAAGGACTGCACTGAAGGATAGAAAGAAGTATATGGATAACGTTTATAAATGCGAAGAGTAGCGCGAGTAGTAACCACTAAATGAAGAGAGTAAATGCTTGTAAATGAGATAACAGAGGCAGTTTGAATTAGTGACATAATGTTGAGCAAGCTATGCCTGCAGTAGATAACAGGTCATCGATCAGATTAACAGAAATGGTGCAGTCAACATCAGAGGAATAGAGACGATGAAATGAGTATATATGCAGGTATAAAATAGAGCCATATAATGCAACATAGGGTTATCAGAATGTGCTGATCCATTTGGTGTGTCTTGTTGACAGTTTGAAAGGCATAAACTATCAAACCTCTCAACAGTTTTTTAACCTTGTAGTTTGAACATGGCTAGCAAGAGAACTTGCCGCGAGCGGCCCTTGATTGGTTTTAGCCACCCCTGTTTTTCCTTGCTCCTTTTATGCAATGGTCTGCGGTTAGTAGTGACCCAATGTTTTGGCCACATACAAGCTACAGAGGTTATTTTTTTATTTATTTTACCAGAGCTGTTATGGGTGAAGGTTCACTTAGAGAGAAAAGCAGATAGAAAAGATGCAGAAAGAAAAGTAGAGGCATAGCCAAGTGAGAGTTGAGAAGCCTGAATATGCTAGCGCCCATCTTTGTTGAGACGCGACCTTCCGCGACTTACCGCTCACTAATTTCTTCCCACTTCACCCATTTTTTCATTGATGATAGCTTGTACTGAAACCAGAAATCGAACCAGAGACCAGAAATCGCACACCGGCTTGCTACTTTTGATGCACATACCCGTGGGTGTTCTGTAACTCTAACAATGATCACAATGATACAATTGCCTGTTTCGTCCCGTCTTTGAAAGAAATGGCCTTGCGCCCACTTCGCTTGATTTAGAGCAAGTGCCATGTTTGCAATTAAGACGTCACACTGATGTCACTTTCAAACAGCCAATAAGAGGCCAACCGTAAAGTTAGGTGTTGCTCTTTGTGACGTCACAGGTGCGACGGCCTTCGGCCGGGTTAGGTCTGAAACTGGGCCAGTTAGTGACAGTACTTGCACATATTTTAACACAGCGCACGACTACGTGGACACAAAAGAAGGGACAAACTTCAGCGCTGACTCGCAACTGAATTTTTATTAGAAAAAATGAAAAAAGGAACACTTCAATCTTCACACCTATCTGGCCCAATCTAGGCAAGAAAAAGCTAATCAGCTGACATTTTTAACATGGAAAAAAACCTTGATACATACCACGTGTGCTCTGCAACAGGACAAAACTTAAGATATCGTGCTATCTAAGAAGCTAACCTCGATATCACGTAGGACGGAGATGGCACACTAATGCATTGTTCACACCTTTTTTTATAATATATGCTTCAATTATCTCTTGTGTGGTTTCATCTCTTTGACGATAGAACTTTTCCTTCATGCAACATAGGTGTGCAAAGGCACTGCGCAAGATATTGGGACACATGTGAGTATATATTACTTTGCAAAGAACGTCTGTGTTTCAACAACCTAATGTTAACGCATCTACTTGTTTGACCTATGTATACAAAACCTCAGAAAAACACGCCACATAACTACAGGACTGTGGGTATCGGGCTTGCTGCACTCCGTCCGTAGGTAGGTCAAGGACGGCAGAGGCTTCACGTCAAAAATAAAAAGCACTTATTTAACTAGACTAGGTATACAGGAGGGCTGACCTATGGACGAGACAGCTTCAGAGCGACCATGATTCCGGGCAGGAGTAATGGGCCAGCACGTGTGACAGCCTCCGTCCTTCGTGGCAGCCAAGGCACGTTTTCCCTGGGCAGCACGCAGGCTGGTCCTTTTTATAAGCGCAAGTGGGCCACGCGCCCCGCTACTGCGCCACACGTGGCGCTATCTCCTGATGGTCTGTGCGCGTGCTTCCCGTACGCTATATCAATTACATTTTTTTTTCAGCTGCAGATTGTGTGATACTAAATTGTCTAGGTTTTTCACACTACGGCGTGAGGAATCTGAAGATTTTATATGCCACGAGTGCTCATAACTACTCGGATAATTTACTATCGAATGATTGATGATTGATTTGTGGGGTTTAACGTCCCAAGACCACCATATGAATATGAGAGACGCCATATTGGAGGGCTCGGGAAATTTTGACCACCTGGGGAGTTTAATTTTACTATTCATGTGTTTTCACATATTCACAAACGCGCGTATGGTGGGAAAGCGTAAGAAATGTGTTTGCTTCAGTGCTGTAACAAAATTTATCTGGTGAAAAAAAGCAATAAATGTTAGCAAAGCGCGTTCCTGAAATATATGGCTCATTCATTGATCAAACTCGGTACGGGGCCAAATTAGTCGGAACGAAGACACGTCTTTTTCTTGAAGGGCTACTCACCAGGTTTGACAATTTTAAGCTGACAAGCACAATGCGTAAACAAGGCGTACATGATCGCGTCTGCCAAAATTTGCAACGCTACGCGCCATGGAAACGGGTCCAATTTCAAGATGAGCGCTGCTGCTCCTTCCCTCTGCCGGCGCGCGCCTAGAGAACGAGGGCATGACGTGTGCGTATGAATGGCCCTACGAACAAGGCAATGCAATGACGTTGGTCCTCTACGTAGGTGACTCTTCTCTGACGTTGCAAACAGTGGCACGTGACATGGCGAAAATGATTTAACTCGACATGCGTAGTTTGTGTAATTTCTTGCTTGAAAATATTAATAAAGCTCTGGATAAATATGTCAGCATATCCACGCAGTGAATGATGGACAGTGGGGCGAAGCATCCGTCCGTTCATTTGTTCTTGCTTCCGTCCATCCATGCGTGCGTCTGTGTTGCTGCCCGTGCGTCCATCCACTCGTCCGTACGTGCGTCTGTGCGTTCGTCCGCACGTTCATCTGTACGTCCATACCTGCTTTCGTCCATGCATCCGCTCCTGCGACCATCCATGCGTCCATCCGTCCGTGCTGCCATCCGTGCATCCGTCCATGCATCTGTCTGTGTGTCCGTTCGTCCACCTATTCAGCACTCCAAGTACCACCATCTCACATTGTTTAATCATATATTCCTCATATAGAAGCACCACCATCCAGCGGACATTCCAAGGACTGAACAAGAGGAGGCACACGCACACTTTCTTACGGCTTGCACTTCGTGTCTACTTCCCACCTTTAAGCACCTCGAGTTCATGGTATATACTAGTTAACTGTAGTCATGGCACTACGGCTCAACGCTCGCTAAACCTTTTTAAATCCTAGGAGGTTACGCCCAGCGAGTATAACGTAGTAGCCCTTTCTTGTCTTCTGTGCGTTGTTGAACAATAAAAAATTCGCAGCGTGCGCGTTAAATAAAAGCCAAAATCTCATGTCTCTCATTCCCCCTTAGCAGCCATTGGCATTTACATTGAGCCCTATCTTTTATTGTTCAACCACCCACAGAAGAAATCTGTCACCGGCAACACCTTGGGGGTCAAAATGTTATACTTGTTACACACTACTACAACGGCTACGGGGGCGAACGGGTGCCGCTATAAGAAGCTTCGCCCCTAATAATGAGGCGCAATAAGGGAATGTGAGCGTCTTTTTTCCATTTTCTCCCGTGAATCGCAACAAGATGCGGGGCTAATGTGTCGGCGTTTCGCATGTATTTGTGTCCCCGAGGTCAGCGCATCGAGCAGACAACCGCCGTGCAACGCTTCTACGCGTTCGCGCACCCATTGTGTTAATCTATTCTCATCATTGTGCATGTACACAGTTCAACAAAACAACTAAAAGCACAATGTGGCCAGCGGTACTTGCAGCATCGCTTACATTTAGCAAATGCGTTTTTATTTGAAATTATTTTATTGGTTTGTTATTCGCATACGTACTTAATAGTGCTTTTTTGTAAAAACCGCATAACGAGGATTCACAAAAAATCAAGACAAACAAAATTAGAAGACTTCCGAAAATCAAACAGCGCCAGCTGAGCCCCCTCGCGGCAGCTGCTACAACCTTGTCATTGTCATGTGACACTACCACAACTCCTTCTCCGTCTAACCTTTTAGGGGAGATATACGTTGACATGTTCAACGGAGTTTGGCGGTGGCCGTGTGACAGGGGTATAAGCCAGCGTTTCCAAACCATCCCGCAGAAACAGGCAGAAGACCACAAAATAACGCTGGTCAACAAAGCAACGCCGCTCACGTGCTCGGGGGTTCCACTTTTTTGGCACGTCATGCGCACGTCACCTCTTGGTCGGATGCCGGAGGGGGTGGGGAAAATATTTGGCTTGGGAAGGCTACGCGGAGGAGCGGCAAGCGTTTCAAGCTCGCCTTCTCTCATCGTCGTTTCGCACCGCTTCAAAAAACCCGTTTTTTCTGCTGGTCATGAACCGATTAAAAAACTTTTGTGGTAAAATGTTCCTCATCGTACCCCGAACAATTTCCACTGTCTAACTAAAATTTTGTATGGGGCCTGGTGAGTGGCCCTTCAAAATTTCTTGTGGACTAGATCGTTAGTCATATTGTCACGGGGTCATGACGCTGACGATGGAAGAGGCGGCTTTTCTAAAAATGAGACTGTTTATTTTGCCAAACTTGTGGCAGATAAACGAATGGCCAGATTACAGTGATGTGTACTCTTAATTTTTATGAAAAGGAACGCGGCGACGCGTGGCCTGTGCGCTACGGCGGCTGATGGCAGCGCGTTCAAGTGGGAGTCAGAGCAACCACAGTATCTTTTCGCTTCATCTCGCGGTGAGCGAAACAACCATTTCTTGCTCATATAGAACGGAAAGATTGCAACCCCTCTCTCTTAAAGCTGATTACCGGCTTTCGCGTGATCGCGTTCAAGGGGTAGAGGTTCGCAATCGTGCCGCTGGTTCCATATCAGTAAAGAATGGTTGTCTTTTCCCCACGAGATGACGCGAAAAGAGACTGTGGTTGCTACCGCGTCCATTTGAACACGCTGCCAGCAGCTGGCAGATCACGCAGGCCACGCGTCGCTGTGTTCTCTTTCATACAAATTGACACCGTACACCGGGACTGACAGCGGTGAACAGAGCGTCGGTCGTTGATCAACTGACAAACGCTGAAACGTGTCGGCATTGATACACGCACCGTCTAAAATTCTAGTACAATCACTAGCGGCAAAATGGGTTCCAGAATATTCTGTAATGTTTGCGTTGTGCCCGTGTTCTTAACGAAACGATCTACTACACACCCGAAGGTTCTCCAACACTGCAGGCACAATTTGCGCAGAGAATTACTCACAGTGTAACGGAGTGATAACAAAACTTAGCCAGGACGGAATGGGTCAATTTCACGATAAGCGGTAGCGATTATTGGCTGTTTTGTGTTTTCGTATTTCTGTCTTATCCCGGTGTGCACTGCCGTTTATTCTGAATACATTTTTTCCCTTGTTAGAGTGCTTTCAAATGAACGAATGCACCAACAATCTAGAACGAACTCACAAACGCGGGCTTGCCACGTGTTTTTCAGTTCATGTTTGCCACCGTCCTTTTTGTCTAATACTTGTCGTTATCAAGCGAAAATCTCGTGATTTTTTTCTACGTCCTCGTAAAAAGAATGCCATTTATCTTTATAGAATTGCACGTGAACTGCAACGCAGAAATTGTGGCCGTGCAAATACGACTGCGCAAACGATATTTACTTATAAAAAGCAGACACTACATTTTCGTTGTACTTATGATGGGTACTACATAATTTCTGTGAATACCTTTAACTATCCTAGCATTACCTTTACTGAAAATCACCTGCGCATTGAACCTCCGCATTGAAACCATTTGCGCTAGGGCACTTAGGAAGTTGAGATGCTCAAACCGAATTCTCAAGCCCCAACGAGAACTGTAAATTAAACATTTGCATATCCCTCGTTGGCCCGTTACTGGAATACTCCTCTGTGGTGTGGTCCCCCTGCACTGCATTTGACATAAATAAGCGTGAAACCACAAAGAAAAAAAGGCGATAAAGTTCATTTTTCCCTGGTATGATTGCAATTTTTCTCCTACTGCATGTACATCTAAAGAAGATTACTTATTTACAACGACATCTGCTGGTACTACCACCTCTGTCGCCGAACCCTACCATCTTTACTGCGTCAGCCTTCCCGCAGGCGTGAGGCCCTACGGCGTAAACCACAAGCCCGAACTTTTCTTTCTCCTACCTTACGCTACAAAATTTATCCCGGAATTTACCCAATTTGTATTGCAATTTTGTACTGCCAGGAAAGCGAACTTTACCCACGTTATGTGGCAGTGTCGAAATCACTCTCCTACCCCGAGCTTTTGTAAACAAATAAGTAGTCAGGAGGTGTGGGAGGCTGCCATGAGCAGCTACAACCCCGACGTTCAGAGGTCTATCCAGTGGTGGGCTGAGGTGGTAGGCGAGGCCTGCCACGAGTATGATTCCCCCCTTTCTCACAGCTCCTTTCCCTTCGAGGGGGAGGGGGAATAAATAAAGTTGTTTTTCTCTCTCTCCTT